AAAGAAAAAGTTCTACAAAAATCATTTTTAATGAGATCAGTGCTATTTCTGTAAGTTTTCTGATTAATCCCGTCTACTCGATTAAAGGACTTCTTCAGACTGGCCCATTATAAAATAATCCCAGAAGTTCAACCCACATAAACGAACACGCACCATCTCCTGAACTGCATCGATATTGAGAAATGAGAGCTTGCGCCAATCTTTGCCGGAGAAACCTGTGCCGTCTATGGCGGAGCAGTAGACAGTACTGTACGGAAAATAGCTCCAAAGTCAAAATCTTTGACCGGAATCTCAAACGCAAACAAGTTTGGCTTCTTTACACACACGTGCATTTTCCTTTTTGCTCAAGGTTAAATTTGATTTTTTTTTTTAATAATCAATTTTTACAGCGTGATAGAGCTGCGTGGTTGATGCGTCCAAATGATTCTTTGCTGGATACCGTGGCAGAAAATCTACTAGATCGCCTGGAGGTACTAGTTTACCGCTAGAATTGTGTATAGTCTAGTTGGATTTTTATATCTTATATTCCAGTATAAGTGAACTGAAGTTGTACAGAAGTTTAATTCATCAAGATTTCTTGGATTAGTATGCTGTGATAGAGTGATTTGAGAATTGCATGCTGGAATACATATTTGTATTAGGTATTTAGGTTGATCTAGGAGTTTCTGCATTAGAGTTGGTATGGTGAATTCATCTCTTCATAGCACATGCATCTACGGCATTTCCTCTGTCTAATTCAAGTGGAACTGTCGATTGTTGCCTTATTTCTACGTGATTTTATTAATCTCTCTTATTTGGTCTAGTAATCTTTGAAAGATTGTGATTTCTTCATTGGGGATTTGATTCCCAGACAGGCACACTTTGCACCATTAGTGATTAGGATTTACAAATTTTCTCCATGGCCTGCATTGATGTTGCCAATTATCATAGTTCCTCTGGTAACTGGTGCTGCATTTGCTTTTTAATAAAACTTTCATCAATGTAGACCTTGGTTTCTCCTTTAAGAAAAAGAATGACAAGATTTAAGTGTTAAGAACTTCATAGACATAGATATAACTATATGCATATGGGTCCATATATGTGCATTCATGTATTTCAAGTTTTGTGGAAACATGTATATGTAGGGTTTTCAGGCGAAGTCATGTGTAAATGAATAGGAGATACAACAATGAGTAGAAGACTTCTAGTGGGAAATATCTAGCTTAAACAGATAATGGGTGTTAAAATAGTTAAAGTGGGATGATGGCTAGCTGTTGAGAAGAGATGTGTCTTGAACTTGGCAGGTTAGAGAAAATAATGAAAATGGAAATCTAAATTTATCTACTTGACCTATAAGTAATTACAAAAAACAATATACAGAAGGTAAGTGATATTGCCCACATATAATAGGAAATTACTTTGTAAGAAAATTTTCTCCTTCCGTTGCATTGGCTTACTCAGTTATATTGAAGTTCATGGCACCTAAACAATATAGATATACGGATTCGAAGTTAGCTTGCTGCAGTTCTTATTTATTGTGAAGGATAATGCTTCTTGAATCTTATTTTATACGTGCCATAAGAAGTTCTTCCCGGAGAGTTCTAATGAACTTCATCTTCTCGAAGTTGAACATTCTGTCCTTTCGTGTTTGTAGGATTGTAAAAGGACATTTCCTACAGCATTATGCATGGGAGGTTCATTGCAAGCAATTATGCGTTCAATACGTGGGCGTGGTGAGAATTCAAGTTTGTGTCATCAGTTTACCTGCAACTGTGTATATGATTTTGCATATAAAATGTAAAAAAATCATGAAGCTGAACAGTAGGAAAACTAGGTTTTATATATGCAGAATGGAGCTTTATAGGATGACTAAATTGTTTCCTTTTTATTCATCAGAAGTTTTAGCATTTTGCTTTATAAGGGAAGCATTCATTCACTTTCGTGGTCTAAAGTAAATGGAACTTGTAGTCCACGACATAAGATTCTCTTGAGATTAAATAATTTTTGGTAGTTTAAGTTGGGATTGGATAGATAGGTTCACCCTACTCTAGCTAGGAGTGTGTAGTTTTATTTCCTATGGATCCTGTACTCTGGAGACTCTAAACTTGTTTTGTAATTAGAAAAAGCTCCATATATTAACAACGTTATGTCTTCTTCCTTGTCAGGTGGCATTGAAAAGCTAATAATGATGGATGCTTCATATGACATGGTGAAATTATGTAAAGAAGCTGAACATGATTTGCCAAACAAAAATGTCGAAACATCATTCATTGTTGCCGATGAAGAGTTTTTACCCTTAAACGAATGGTAATTTGCTGTCCCTATTGATGCATGTACCGGTGAGGTGGGACCCTTTATGTAGTAGATTCATAAGGTGTATTTTATGATAAAAATTTCTCATTTAAAATATGTGCTGTGGATGTCTAGTTCTTTGGATCTGGTTATTAGTAGCTTGGGACTTCATTGGACAAATGATCTTCCTGGAGCCATGATACAGGTTTTTTGCTTCTCCATCTGGTGTTATTAACTTTATATCATTTCTACCTTGCAACGCCTTACTACTTTCTTCCTTGTTGTATCCCTTTCTGGATTTAGTTACGTCATCAATTTTGCAAATTGAAATGTCTACTCATTAATAGTCATCAATGATTCTTACTTAAGTTTTTTCAATGGCAGAGTAGATTGGCTTTAAAGCCTGATGGCCTATTTTTGGCAGCTATTCTCGGCGGAGAAACGTTGAAGTTGTATCTTCATATTTTTGTGAAGCTTTTCTGTTCTTATAACTGAATGAAAGGCCTAATTGTTTCAAAATATCCTTCTGTTATCCAGGGAGCTGAGAATAGCATGCACTATAGCACAAATGGAGCGTGAAGGAGGCATCAGTCCGCGGTTATCACCCCTGGCACAAGTATATTCTTAATCTGTGTTGTGTGCCATGAACCTCAATTTCCTGAAAGTTTAAATATTATTTCGTCTTTGTCAATCTTTTACAAGCGGTTGAATACATATTTGAGAAGCAACAGAATGAGAAAGGTACCCTGGTTGTTACATTGGCATGATGTGATCTTGATCAAATTATACGATGTCCTCTATTTCCAATTACAGCCATCTTCTAATTTAAATGACCTCTCTGATAATCTTCAAAGTTTAAAAGGGAACATCCTCCATTGTCTGTACCATTTCAAGGCACTGTCTATTTGGAGGGTTGTTTTTTGGTGTGTTCTTGATTTTCAATATTGATGTCATAGCCAAGTTCTTTTGATTTAAACAACTAATCCTTTGTATACTATCTCAAGATGCTAGTGCAGTAGTTACTAATGTACGAGATGTTTATACATTGATAAATAATATGTCTCTCTTGTTTCTTTTACTGACAACCTGTTTGAGCCCCATTTTTTTGCCCAAAATGTATTTTGAAATAGTATTTTGATGGATAATGTGTGGCTAAAAAATAAGAAAAAGTTTTGGGTTTACGTATAATATTATTTTATTGAAGAATGTGTGGTCGAAAATAAGAGAAAGAAAAATATATTTTGGAAATAATGGGGACCAAATAGAGGCTTAGTAATAATAATATAGTTGATATGCATTGATAATAATCACTGCAGTATTCTGGGCTGCTGAATATCTGGTTAGGATAGTATGGCCCTTTTGGTTTCGTCTAATTAGTAATACAGTTGATGTATCATATTCTTGTTCACGTCAAATCTAGTGACATGAATCATAGTAAATAGGTATATCGATATATACGATTGATCTGGAACAATCTTAAATTATTTTTGTATTTGATCCTGGAATTTCAACAAGTAAAATCTTGAACTTGCTTATGGGGGTTTTTAGGAGACACTTTGATTGGCCTTATAGGTGCGTGATGCAGGCAATTTATTGACTAGGGCAGGCTTCACTCTTCCTGGAGTTGACATCGATGAATACACTGTGAGATATGATAGTGGTATGCCTTAATGCTTACAGTTGACATGCTCAATTCATCACATTGTCATACCTATTTGCTTTTGTAGCTTAATCCATATATCCTCCCAACCTTCTTTGAATAAGAAGAGGTTTAGTAAAATGGTTGATTAGAAGACTAAAAAGGAAGCCAAGCAGACCAGAATTGAATATCTTAATACGTTGAAATGCTTTCTTTTTGTTACATGTAATGCTCTTTTTTTCTCTTTCGGTCAAGTTAGCTCTGGAGCTGATAGAGCATCTTCGTGCTATGGGTGAAACTAATGCTCTATTACAAAGCAGCAAAGTAAGATGCCTTTCAACCTTGTTCATAGTTAAAGTCAACAATTTTATTGCTGTTTCCAAGTTCTAAAAGCATCCAGTTTTTTGTTTTCCAACTAAATTATGGTATTTCTGATCCCCACTCACTCAAATATTGATCTCAAATGGGTCAGATTTTGAAGAGAGAAACTGCCTTGGCAACTGCTGCTGTTTATGAGTCCATGTTTGCAGCAGAAGATGGCACTATCCCAGCAACATTTCAGGTCACTCTACAGTCTGTTACACTAAATTTTTGCCTTGTGGTTGACAGAGAAGTCACGGAAAATGCTTTCTTGCATAGCATCCACCAACTTGTTGCTACCCACTTCCAAATTGTGGCATTTGGTGTCAAATTTAATTTTCTTTTTCTTTAGCATAATATATTTGTCTATGCTTGTTAAGGTTATATACATGACTGGATGGAGGGAACATCCCTCTCAACAGAAAGCTAAAGCCAGAGGATCTGCCACAATATCGTTCAAGGACGTCCAAAAGCAATTTGGTGAAGGAAGTTAGCACCAGCCAACTAGAGTAAGGTGGAGTTCATTTTTCTGTTCTTTTCTTTTTTCGGTGGTGGGGGGCTTTAATTTTCGTGGTTTTTCTCAAATAAGTTGTTAATGTTCATGAATTGATTGTAAGCTCTTAATATGTTGTTTAGGTGATCCCGAATTTGTTAATGTATTTCCATGAAACGGAAATAATGCATTTGAAGTCTGCATGCTAGAATCATAATTTTTTCTTGTGGATTAATAAGATATTCCTTGTAAATAGTTCGCATGCGTCACCAAATTTATGCACTTGTTCTCAATTTGATCAACCAGCTTCAGAAGTTTCAATTTAATTACTCATTTTCATTTTATGTTACTGGTTAGTCACTCTGTCCATTGCTTGTCGTGTCCGCTCGTGCAGGTGGCTGATTTCTAGCTAGTAGATGCTTTCACATCCTAAAACTGATTTCTAGCTAGTAGATGCTTTCACATCCTAAAGCATTATTCTTGGACGATCTTGAACACATCGTTCCTTTAACATGACACTAATCTTTGCCTGTGCAATATGGTTATTTTGAAGGTAATGTTAGTGCGCAAAATGTGTTGGATTATTGTGAAGTGACTGCCTGATGGAGACGAATACTTGCTCCACCCATATTTGCAATAACCAGAGCCATCTATGATAAAAATAAAAACCTTTACTTAACCAGTTTATACCTAAGTTAAATCTCGAATGGATTAAAGGATTTTTAAGATCTTTTCTCTGGAAGGAAAAAGAGATGAGAAAAGACTAAAGAAGCAGGAGAAAAAGAGGTAAAAGAGGGGCAAAATGTCCTTCTGCCAGTTTGGAGGAAATATGAGAAATTCTATTGCCCTTCTTATATCTTTCTTATATTCTATAGTTGAAGAGCAGAGATAATAAAATAAAAGAGATGGAATTAGTGCATTGGGTTTGCTCTCCAATGGTCACCAGTTCGAGTCCCCTCAAGGCGGTGAGTACCCGATCGTAAACTTCAGGGTCCCGTGGAATTAGTCGAGGTGCGTGCAGACTGGCCGGACATCCACAGTTATTAAAAAAATGTAATTTTTTAGAAGTCTCGGGATGTTCATTGGAAATGAATTGGTCAAATATGGCAAGTTAAATCTCGAATGGATTAAAGGATTTTTAAGATCTTTTCACTGGAAGGAAAAAGAGATGAGAAAAGACTAAAGAAGCAGGAGAAAAAGAGGTAAAAGAGGGGCAAAATGTCCTTCTGCCAGTTTGGAGGAAATATGAGAAATTCTATTGCCCTTCTTATATCTTTCTTACATTCTATTGTTGAAGAGCAGAGATAATAAAATAAAAGAGATGGAATTAGTGATAAAACTTGAAGAAATATTTATAATATTCTCTTGTTTGGTTGGGGTAGAAGACGGAGAAATTCACATCATATTTTCTTGATGTTACTTAATATGGTAAATTTTACCTTGGAACTGCTCATTTCAATGTTGGACCAACTATCATCAACTCTCTTTTCCAGATGATGAATTGATAGTTGGAGAATTGCATTTGAAAAAATTGTAAATCATGAAAGAAAAGACATTCAGAATTTTAAGTTACAGTATTATGATGAATGAAATTAGAATGGTTTGACAAAATTTAAGGCACAAGAGAATAATAATATTTAAGAGGTTCGATAAAAAAATGTGGAACACATTTGAATAAGATTTGTTTTGGGGAAATGCTCATGGACGTACGAATGTGTCACCCGACATGCAAACATTTCATCCACAAAGATACCATTGGATTGTCTATGAAATATTTTTTGTTAAATTCAAAAAGTAATTGTGAAGATGAATAATTATGGAATTTGGAAAATGAATAAGCTAATTATGAATGGGAAAGTAAAATTGCAAAAAAAAAAAAAATTGATGTAAAAGAACAAGAATCTTTGAGGATGAAATTATGAATAATTATTTGGTTACTATATGTACGGTACTAGCTGCAAGATTCAAAAATAAATTTCTTACGCAAGGTATTGGAGAATTTGTAAATTGTAGGAGGTTATTTTAGCCATTTTCATTTTCTANGTAAATTGTAGGAGGTTATTTTAGTCATTTTCATTTTCTATATATTCTAGAGCACCTTCCTTCCATTTTCATTCAATTGGGAATTAACAATTTTCCCTCCGTTTTATCTTCTTCTCCATCTCTCTCTATTTCGATATTTCACACGGTATCAGAGTAGAGATGCTTTGCTGGGATGGCAACACAAGGATCTTCTGTTGGAGATTTGATCGGAGAGGAAGTTAATTCAGTTATCAGTCGACTGATAATAGATTCAGGCAGTCCCTACTATCTTCATTATGGTGATAACACTGGTATGCTGCTCATATCAGTGATTCTTACAGAGGACAGTTATGCGACATGGAGTCGCGCTGTTGTTATGGCTCTCAGTGTGAAGAATAAAAAAAGATTCATTGATGGAACTATAACTGAACCGAGTGCTGATTATATGATAAATAGCGCCTGGAGGAGATACCATCATGTAGTCTCATAGTGACTTATTAATTCCATTCCCAAGGAGCTCTATCCAAGTTTGATGCAAAAGGATTCAGCAAGAAAGATATGGATTGAATTGAAGGATCGTTATAGTCACGGTAATGGTCCTAGGATTTATGAATTGAAGAAGCAGATCTCCACCATTTCACAAGAAAATAGCTCAGTTAATTCCTACTTTAATCTATTCAAAGGATTGTTGGAGGAGCTTAATAACTATAGACCGAATATTAGTGGATCTGATTACAAGTAGGAAGATCAAGTTATGCGATTCCTAATGGGGCTAGATGAACATTATTCTACATTTAGAAGTTAGATCCTATTAATGGATCCTCTGCCTCCACTTAATAAGGTTTTTGCGCTTATTTTGCAAGATGAAAGACAAAAAGAAGTTGTTATTAAAAGGCAACAGAGCTTCGAGGCACCTGCATTTGCCAATAATGCTATACAAAGATCTAATAGAACTCAGAGAAATGTTAGATTCATTCAAAATTAGAGAAATGAGAGGCCTATTTGTAGTTACCGTGGGATGCTTGGACACATTAAAGTAGGGTTGGACATGGTCTGGTTCGGTTCTGAAGAGAACGAACTGAATCAAAATTTTCGGGTATTTAATTAATGGAACCGTCGGGTCCAAATATAATTATGGAAGCGTTCGGGTTTTGTTCGGTTCTGTACCATAATTAAATTTTTTAACAGAATTCTAATGGTCAACGATCAGTGGTCGTGGTTGGAGGTTGCGACTTCGATGGGCATTGAGAGGAGAAGTCGGACTCGGCAGTCGAGGATTTCGATTTGGGCATGTAGATATGGAGGTCGCGGCTTCGATGGGCATTGAGAGGAGAAGTTGGACTCGATAGTTAGCGATTTCAATTTGGGCATGTAGATGTAGGTTTTCAATTTATCAAATGATTTGAGATAATTAACTCAGTGGTTACCGAATGAAATTGGAAAGAGAATGATAAAAATTTAAAAAGGCCTAGATCTTTGGCTAAGAATGAAATTAATAATAGGACCAAAAAATTGAATTTAGGGTTGAGCTAGCTGGGCATGGACTTAGCTTGGAAATTAGAACACTAAATTAGTTAATTTGCTAATTTGCTTAGAAAAAATTAAAAAAATTAATTAATTCAATATAAAAATTAAAAAAATATATTTAAATTCGGTTCTTATTCGGTCATTTGGTTTTGGGTCTAGAACCGAGAACCGAACGAACCGAACCCGTCAGTTCTCGATTCAGATACCCGTTGAGGTATTTAATTTATGAAGAATCACTCGATTCGGTTAGTTCAATTTGAGTTCGGTTCGGTCCGATTCGATTTAGGAGTTTTGTGCAGCCTTACATTAAAGCAAAATGCAACAAGCTTGATGGATATCCCCTTGGACATCATTTTACTAAAGGCAAAACTATAGTTGCTAATGCTATTGGACAATCTTCTGAAGGTAATCAGTCTGGTTTTATGGAATCCCTCTCGAACCTCACTATTACTCCAGATCAGTGTAAGCAAGTTCAGGCAATGTTGATGGCTCAGCTAAATGGGCAAATGTCTGATGCTATACGAACACCGACACAATCTCAGCTTTAGGACACACTATCCACTGGTTATTCTGGGCCAGATGCCTTTGCCTTTTCAGGTAATCACTCTCATTCTAATACTAAACTAGGCGCAACAAAATGGATTATGGATACTGGTGCTTCAGAGCATATGGTATGTTCTATTTGGCATTTAACCATGATATCTCATAAAGTTAAAGCAGCTGTTAAGTTGCCTAATGGAGACATTGTTGAAGCTACACATATTTGAACAGTTAAATTGTCTAATACATTGGTTTTAACAGAAGTGTTGGTGGTGCCTTGCTTCAAATTCAATTTGATTTCAGCTAGCAAATTGACTTTTAAGCATAATTGATTCCTAATATTTTTACATCAATATTATTTTGTCCAGGATCTTTTGACATGGAGGACGATTGGAGTGGGCAAACTTGAAGATGGACTGTATGCTTTCCAAAATCTTGCTCAGCAGTTTCATGACAAACCTTCATTCAAATGCCTTCATTTTGATTCTCAGTCTACTGCTATTTCTGATAGTAACATTTATGCTTTCCCTAATTCCAATTGCAAGTATGATCTCAGTCTACTATGTAATAAAGCGAGACATTCTGCTTGTAATTCCATAAGCAATTTCAATGTAAAGACTGATATAGATCTATGACATTGTCGTATGGGGCATTTTCCTATTTTCAAACTATCTCTTTTACATAATTTGGTTCCTACCATTACATTCAATAAGCAATTACATTGCACTGTTTGTCCCAAAGCCAAACAACACAAGCTACCTTTTCTTGTTAGTGAAACTAGAGCCTCCAAAAGATTTGATATAATCCATTGTGACATATGGGGACCATATTCAGTCCTCTCATTGGATGGCTCTAGATACTTCTTAACCATTGTTGATGATCATACTAGAATAACTTAGACTTACCTAATGA